TTTTAGTTGATGAGAGAAAGAGAAACTCATTTGCAACCTGAGTATAAATCTGACCAGAAATCAAACCCACGACCCTTCTGTGCATGGGACGAAACTCTAACCACTGACCCACACCAGCCAGGATGTTCTTCCTTCCTCCTAGTAACAGAACACCTTGAGTCAGGCCTTGCCATGGTCACCTGGAGCCTGCACTCTCCAGCCCCCTTGCAATTAGACTTGGTGACTTTATGAAAAACATGGCTGCTTGCCTTGGATTCTTTCCATTTGCCTGCTGGTTTTGAAATGGAATGGATACTTGCCAATGTCCAACCCATTCTCTGAGAGTTCCTTGTCTTAGAAGAGCTGCTTAAAATCCTACCTGTGATTAACTGCTGCCCAGTAAACTTCCTATAGAGCATGTGTGAACGGACAATGTCTGCTGAGTGAAGGCATTCACTGGCTCGCTGGGTTCTTGGAATGATCTTTGGGGTACATGCAGTAGACAGAATGATCTGAACTTGACAGCTGAGAAAATAAAAGCCCAGAAAGGTTGAGTAACAGCTCCAGGTCAGCCAACCTGTAAGCAGGAGTGCAGGGCTGGCTCGCACTTCAAATCCAAGCTTCAGGATTTGAGTTCTCCACCCACTGAGTCTGCAGAAAGTTGTAACCATCAGATTGATTATTGGTGTGGCTGAAGCTTAATTACACACTTTACAAACAGGATGGACAGGTCTCCCGTTGACATGTGGTGACTCAGTTTTCCCCTTCACACTGCACTGGATTTTGTGTTGATGTAGAAAGTGAGCTGGACAGCACGCCTCCCCTCCTATGGTGAGCCTCACCTAGCATTTGAGCAGCGTTAGAAGCGGTCTCCTAATGGAGGCCCCGGTGAGGCGATAGTTGTAGAAAGGCAAGGGGAGGCTAGAAAGGATCGAGATGGCTCTGCTTAGAAAAACAAGCAAGTCACTCTGAGTTTAAGTGAAACGAACTCTATACTTTTGCGGTAAAGAAACAGAAAGGCATTTGTAACTTAACATAACTCGTCTAGGCATTTGGGAATACCAATAGTTTTTATTTTTATTTTTATTTTACTTATTTATTTTTTTTATATACCAACAGTTTTTTAAAAACCAGTTAATTGAAGGCTGAGAACCTTTCCTCCTCACCCTGCGATGCCCGGGGCGATTGTAAGACTTTCTCAACCTGACATAATGCAGAAAGATACTAACCTGAAAAAGCATTTTACCCCACCGCGGCATCCACGTCTGACAGCGCCACCCGCATGCCATCTCTACTCCTCATCGCTGACTGGTCCCAGGGGGGACTCCTCGCGGGGGTATAAGGCAGTCAAGGCGTGACTTTGATCAGCCACTGACCCCCTGGTCTGCATCTTGTGAAGAACAGACATTTTCCTTGAAGTACTGAATGAACCATAAAAGCCGAGAAGAAATACAAGTCTGCGTGTTTTCTTTTTAAAGTAAAACTTCATCATTTTTAAGTTCAAATGTTCTGCATTTGAAATGCAGTTGAGTTCTGGTGTGCTTTCACATTCCCTAAGAGTTCGAAGTGACACATTTTGTGCCCAAAGGGAGGATTAAAAAGAAAAACTGCTTATGACCTGGATTTTTAATACCCTGAATTTTTGTGCTTTGTAATTTAAAATTTTTAAATTTTCTCTTAATTTGCATCATGCAGTAGGGCATTGATGCTAATGAACTGGGAGAGGCAGAGTGCTTACCAGCCTCTGAAAACAAAAACTTTGAGGGTGGACCAGTGGTGGAGCTTAAGGGCTGTGGGTCTGTAGCAATGTTGGGTCATCGTCTATCCAAACAGTGATCCAAGAATGTTCCTCCTTCCTTCTCTTGCGTCTCTCTCCCTCGCTAACAACTACCGGTTGCTGAGTGATGGCTGTGTAATCTCATCTCATTCTTATAACCACCCTGGGCATTTGGTGGCATTACCATTGTGCAGATGAGGAAACTGCGTTTAAAGAGAGAGTCAGCAACGTGTCCAAGGTTACCCAGCAAAGAGACATCAGAGACAGGCTTTGGGCTGCTCCCCAAACTCTTCCCTTCACCAGTCTACTACAGAACTGAAGGCAGCTTGGCCCATGACTGGCAAGGGCCTGACAGTCAAAACACATGAAGGGCACCTGCTGGTGTTCTCGGAGGGAAGACAAACACAGGCCCCCACACTCCGGCTAGAACGGACAGACATTATGTGGAAAGGACACAGGACTCAGCCTGTGGATTTGGACCAACCCTTTTTCAAAACAGCCTTTTGGCATCTCTTGTTATTGGTAAATCTCCCTCCTTATGGCCTGTTTTCACCCCATATAATTATGGCAGGCATGTGGTTCAAGAGGCTGAGCATGTCCAAGGCCTCCCATTCCAGCCTTTGTTTCATTCGAGTTGGCCAATTTGACCTTCATTCACGCTGGGCCATTGGTAACTGGCTGCGCACAGGTCCATGCAACAGCTAGAGCGTGACCTCTTTTTATGAGTCTGCTCTCACACTCTTTAAGGGATGCATTTTTCATCTGTGCCAACTGGGCCAGGACAGGGACTCATAAAACAGCCTCCCTTCAATAAGCCCTTAAATTGTTGGGCTGTGGAGAAATAAAGATACGAAAGCCAAGCCCATTGTCAGGTTTAACAGGAAGAAAGGAGGCAAACAATGTCACGGAGTGGACACGGCTTAAGTAACCAAGAAGGGGAAGGCAAGACAGTGATGAACACAGGATGGCCCATTTAGGGTTGAGCTAGATGGCTTGTCTTGTAAGTGAAACAGGAAAACTCTGCAAATTGAAAAGAGGAAGTGGCTTCTGACCCTTGTCTAGACTCTGGAATGAATAAGCACACCTGATTATGATCAGTGTCACACAGTATTTACCAATTTCTACGAAACTGTGAAAGGCAAGAAAGGCCTGTGGCTCATGAGCAAGGGAGAGAGACCAACTGCACTGTTCACTGTGCACATTCCGGTCCCGTTATTTGTGGGGGGTGGGGGGGGAGGCTGGCTGTGTTCAGGGGAAGCATGTGCAGGCAGCGGGAGGCTCAACTTCATCAGTCCCATTAGCTAAAAATGACTTGTGAGCCAACTGAAGTTATATTTTACATGCAAGTTTCGAAAACCAGCAAGACTGCTGCATGTTATTTCTTTTTTTTTTTTTTTGGATATATTTTTATTGATTTCAGAGAGGTAGGGAGGGGGAGAGAGAGGTAGAAACATCAATGATGAGAGAAAATCATTGATCGGCTGGCTGCCCCCTGCACGCCCCCTACTGGGGATCGAGCCCACAAACCAGGCATGTGCCCTTAACTGGAATCGAACCTGCGACCCTTCAGTCCGCAAGCCGATGCTCTATCCACTGAGCCAAGCCGGCTAGGGCTGCATGTTATTTCTTAAAGTAAAATTAAAGGGAGAAATAAGTTAGCAAAAGATATGTTAGCACAACTGAGGCCTACCTTAAGAAGACATGATTGGTCATAATTTGATCTTACAAAATAGATAAACTAGGGGTTGGTTGTTTCCTTGGCTGGGATTCAGCTCCAGCCCACCCTCCCGCAATGGGAACACCATAACAGGCATCGAGAGGGAGTTGGTGAAATACATTATGCTTCCTCATAATGGAACACTTGGTGCTTTAAAAAGAGGGAAAAGAGGCCTGAAGAAACAAGACAGAGCATGGTCCGTGCGCAGCCAGCTTTCTTTTCCGCTGGAAAAGCTCAGCACAGACACTGAGAAAGTGCACACGAACCATCTACACACGCCTTTGACACTGGCCATCACGGGGGTCCCGGGGACCAAGAAGGACTTCCTGCCCTCACTGGCCTGTTTCTGTAGTGTTTGCTTTTCTGGTTTCTTTTACAATGAATATTTATAACTTTTGGTGAAAAATTAAAATATATAACTGTACATAAAAACGATTTTGAAAAAAGCATATGGCCCCCTCTTTTCTAATTTGGACTTAGAAGCAAACTTTCAAGTAGTCCTTACTTCACTGGATCTTGGTCACAGGGCTTACAGAGACAACGTTCTGTTTGTATGATTACACACATGCCCTCTTACTGCCCCTCCCTCGGATGGATCTCGGGTGTAAAATAATGCCCTAATACTTGTACTGATACTTTTGGATAAGCCTCAATGCCCAACCAGTCTGATCAGAGAGCCGTCCAGGCATGGAAGGGCTGTGGTGGCCCCGCCCACCCTTTTGTGTTGTCTGCGTCAGTTTCACCACCATAAAATGGGGAGAAAATAAGCTTTCCTTATTCTCTCAACTGCAAGGAAGATTGTGAGCACCGATGGAAGCTGAAAGGACACTTGCATAAAGGCACGAGTAAGCCTTTGAGTCCTTAGGATACTGACAGGCCGGGCAGGCAACGTTACCCATATGGACTTACCAGCTCTCACCCAGGCAAGCACGTATTGTCTGCTTGTGCTTGGGCCGAGAGAAACAACTTCATCATCCAATTTCAAACTGAAAATAATGTCACTTATTAGCTCTGAAAAACCCAAACCAGACAGAATGTGGCCCTTTACGAAACAGCGCATAACTTACTTTTCTTTACAAAAAACATACATGTGTAGTGTGGAAAATTGGGAAACAAAGATAAGCAAAAATAGCAAGAGCATTAAAAAGATCACACATAACCACATTACTGAGAGGTAATGGCACCAGGAATTTTGGCTTATTATGTCTTTACAATTAATCTGTCTGTTTAGCCACCCAATTAAATATGTATCTGTATGTATGTGCATATATAAATTAATAAAAGAAATGGCATCATCCTGTTCATCCTAACTTCAGACAGAAACCTCCTTGCATGCACTTGTGAACTAGGTTGTGATCAGAGTTCATCTCTGTACACACACTTCACGTGTAACCAGAGCCTTCCCGGAACCCACTGCTTCACTAACCAACGATTTTGCCCAAGACTGTTCTGTGCCCCTTAAAGCAACGCTCCCATCCCTAGAACAGCTCAAGGTGCTCTGAAGATTCTGAAGCGATTCACACTTACTTTCCGAGGTTTCACTTTATCTTGTAAGTCATACTGGCCAATTCCTTTATAGCTGATTCCAAGCCACCAAGGAAGTCCTTGTTTATCCTGGAAGATGGGAAAGCATGAGAACCAAGACCTAATTGTTAAGTCGTCTGGCGGTGGCCTAGCGCTCACCAGGCCCATCCTTTAACAAGTATCCGCAAGTCAAAGTCAAGCTGTCTTGGTAAACAAAACAGTACTTAAGAACCTAACTTGTTATTAAAATGCCTTCTTAGAGTTTCTTCAAATAAGACCTTTAAGTCAAAACAGACCAATATTATTAATACCATCAAAAAGACCAAAGCATTACTGCTTGGATTAAACATTTGGAGAAGAAATGAAATGTAAGTAATTCAACTAAGAATTAATCCAAAGTACAAACCCAGTTATCTATTTAAAAAAGAAAGAAAGAAAGCTCTTTGTTCTCTTGATTAGTAACCAGCTGCAAAGGTCAGGGAAGTTTCCAAAGATGTAAAAAGTGGTTCTAAGTCCTGATGTTTGTAATACACTTAACAGTGAACATGGGAATACTGAAAAACAGAATGTTTGAATAATGCCTGTGAGGTATATACATGGGGAGGGGAGAAATTTTTCCCCCCATAAATTTATCTTTTCGGTCTTAAAAGCATAGGTTGTATTGACATAAGGAAAGAAAACCTAGGCTGGAACATATATCTATATGCCAACAAACCAGGAATCAGTAGAAATTAAAGTTGCATTAGTATACATATTTAGTACAGGGTGTCCCATTATGCAGGTATTTATTACTCAATTCTCCACCATTTTGAATTGTAAACATTGTTGGAATTTGAAGAATTACTTAAGATTGATCAATTATAAAACTATTCTGCTTTCAAACAACACTGCCTTCTTAACCTGCTTTCTCTCTTCTCACCTCACCATACTCCTTAGTCACTCTCTCCCTGCTTATAAACATCAAAAAACACCACAGAAACACAAAGTGTACTGATGGAAAATTGCATTGCAAATCCTACAAAAAATGTGAGGATTTCATGAAGCTACTGAAAAGACATTGGAGAGTGCATGGTTCTCACATAAAGGCACTATCTAATGAATTTCTGGTAGCATTAGAAAGGTAAACAATTGTAAAAGAGAAAAATAAGTAGGAATAGCTAACAGAACAGATGTGTCAGGAGAATGATCTGAATATCTTAGGACTAACAGAGGCTTTGGGAAAACATTTGAACATAGCAAGTATTTGGCAAAAATATGATTTGTAATTTGCTGAAAATTACAAGATATCAAGCTTTTTTTTCCTTAAATCAATCTTATTCTCAATGCTCAAATTTCTAGATAATTTACATATATATGCATATGATTTATACAATTTTATAAAGCTGGTGTTCACTAACTCACAGAATGACATGGGCATCACAAAAGCCTTGCATGTAGAAACATTTACCTTTACTGCGTAATAATGGACTCCGTAGGTCGGTAGAGCTTCTACTATTTTCATATACCTGTGGAAAATGAATATATTATAACCTCTTAATAAAATAGAGGGCCCTTCTGGGGAAAATGATTGAAAGAAATACAATTTATATCTACTGTTCTCATTATAAGTGTCTTTGGCTAAAGTAGAAATAAAATAAAGCATTCCAAGGAGTAATATATTTTACTTCATCCAAATATTAGGAGGTTACTAAGAAAACTTCAATTTCAAAAAGCTATAGGAAATGTTATTTTCTGCATATTAAGATTTCTATGGCTTAGAAGCATATTGTACTGTATTATACATTCAAATTACAAGTATTTCTTACACTAAGCACCTAATAATGCAAAGCAATGAGCGACAACTTTCGGGTCATTCTCATAAGAAGTAAAAAATAAATCTATTCCATGTATTATTGATTGTGGTAAACTCTTAGAAATATATACTCAACTCTTAAGTCAAAAAAATCTCAGAAATATACACTTAAAAAGGGCAAAGTTTATTGTATGAAAACCTGATTTTTAAAAATATGCCTACTCCCCCCACCCCAAGTAAAAATTAGAGCAACAGTGCTAACATTGCTATTTTTAATTCAACAAGCATTTATTGTGTACCTCGAAGGCTTTATGGAGTGGACTAAATTGTGTAAGACTGCCTTCAGCCTACAAAGAATTGAGGTTCCAGTTTGATGGAACTTGTTAATGGCATTTGAAGATTAATTGCTCTGGACTTTGTAACCAATAATTTGGTGATTTAAAAAAATATATATTTTATTGATTTTTTACAGAGAGGAAGGGAGAGAGATAGAGAGTTAGAAACATCAATGAGAGAGAAACATCGATCAGCTGCCTCCTGCACACCCCCCACTGGGGATGTGCCTGCAACCAAGGTACATGCCCTTGACTGGAATTGAACCTGGGACCCTTCAGTCCGCAGGCCAACGCTCTATCCACTAAGCCAAACTGGTCAGGGCAATTTGGTGATTTTTAAAAGCAAATAGCCTACATGTAAATGAACATAAGCGGTTAGGTAAATGTGCCAAGGTCATGCAGCAATTACACTGCACAGCCAGGATTCTAGCAAATCAAGCCCAATTTTATAGACTAGAGCAGGGGTGGGGAACCTTTTTCCTGCCAAGGGCCACGTGGATATTTATAACATCATTCACCAGCCATACAAAATTATCAACTTAGAAATTCGCCTGCTAGCCCTAGCCAGTTTGGCTCAGTAGATAGAGTGTCAGCCCTGGGACTGAGGGGTCCCGGGTTCAATTACGGTCAAGGGCACATACCTTGGTTGCAGGCTCGATCCCCAACCCCCGACATGCGGGAGGCAACCAATCAATGTGTCTCTCTCACATTGATGTTTCTCTCTCTGTCTCTCCCTCTCCCTTCCACTCGCTCTAAAAAACCAATGGAATAATATCCCCGGGTGAGGATTAACAACAACAACAACAAAAAGAAAATTAGCCTGCTAAATCTGGTCAAACATTTAATTAACTCAGCCCTAAGGCCTTGGTGGGGCCAGACCAAATGATTCTTCGGGCCTCACACGGCTCACAGGCTGGACGTTCCCCACCTCTGGTCCAGAGCCTTAACTACCAAGTTAGACAGTCTCTTATTTGGAGCCACAGAGATAATGACCACGGGAAATAAAATGACTCTGCATTTAAACAAGGAGACTTCATAATATTCTAACCTAAAATCCCTCAGGGACACTGTTGCTCCTGTATTTCTTTCTTTCTTTATTTCATTTCAGAAAATTGGCACAATGACTTAAGATGTCAAGGATTCAACTTCAGAACCACTAACTTCTGATTTTCACCTTGAAGATCACAGAAAGTGTGTTATGATAAAAAGGAGATTAATATGGCCCTGGCCAGGGAGCTCAGTTGGTTAGTGTCTTCCTGATACACCAAGGTTGCTAGTTTAATACCCAGTCAGGGCACATACAAGAATGAACCAATGAATGCATAAAAACGTGGAACAACAAATTAATGTTTCTCTCTCTCTCACTCTCAAATCAATTAAAACAAAACAAAACAAAACAACAACAGAGATTACTGTAAGATGTAGGGATACAGGGGAAATTTCAGTTCTCACATGCCCTGACCTATAGTCAGTAGTGTTTTGTTTTTTAAACTTCTATGGCCATAAAAGTTATTGCAATTACTATACCAAAAATGCAACATTAGTTTTTATAATTATAAATTTAGCTCTTATAATTCTAAAATTTTAATGTAGCTTGTGAACGATTTTTTTTTTTTGAGAGAGAGAAACAATGTTGATTTGTTGTTCCATCTATCTTTACATTCATTGGTTGATTCTTTTTTTTTTTTATTAATCCTCACCTGAGGATATTTTTTCTATTGCCTTTTTTAGAGAAAGTGGAAGGGAAGGAGGGAGGGAGGGAGGGAGGGAGAGAGAGAGAGAGAGGGAGAGAGAGAGAGAGAGAGAGAGAAACATCAATGTGAAAGAGACACATCCATTGGTTGCCTCAGCCCTGACTGGGGCCAGGGATGGAACCCACAACCCAGGTATGGGGAATCAAACCTGAGAGCCTTTGGTCCACAAGCTCTAATCACTGAGCAGCTGGCCAGGGCCATTGGTTGATTCTTCTATGTGCCCTGACTGGGGATTGAACCTTGCAACCTTGGCATATCAGGATGACACTCTTACCAACTGAGCTACCCAGCCAGGGCCCCTTGTGAACTAGTCTTAATAAATGGATGGTAACTCTAAGAGTGGAAAGTGCAGAAATATATCAATATGGCCTTTCTCAGTAGCATGAAGAAACAGATTATCTAACACCAGCACTGTGTGTTCCACTGGAAGTAGGGTCACAAACCTGGCAACCAAACATGGCCTCCAGACAGGGTTTGTTAGGCTCACGTTGCATTAAAATTTTCTTAAAATTACTTTGCAATGTTTAAAATGGGATTTAAAAACCAGAAGCTCCGCCGAAACCGGTTTGGCTCAGTGGATAGAGCGTCGGCCTGCGGACTGAAGGGTCCCGGGTTCGATTCCGGTCAAGAGCATGTGCCTGGGTTGCGGGCACATCCCCAGTGGGAGATGTGCAGGAGGCAGCTGATTGATGTTTCTCTCCCATCGATGTTTCTAGCTCTCTATCTCTCTCCCTTCCTCTCTGTAAAAAATCAATAAAATATATTAAAAAAAAAAAAACAACCAGAAGCTCCAGCTTTTCTGGAAAATATCAGATCTGGTAACACTATGCATGAGTTCTGAAGCTGAGTAGCTTTGCCCAGGGCAAAAGCTCCCCGGTTCACAAGGTCCCCACCGTTCCTTATCGCCCCACACTTGGCCTATATTTCTCAGCTTTTTACCTGCCTGACACTGATAGCATCTGAACTGATGACACAAATGTGGAACGAGCCAAGACATTTTATAATTCATGGTAAGGTATTTGTAATCAGATGAGGACAATATACACACAAACTACACAACAGAAATCGTGCCAGAGGCTTCTGTAAACGGAAGACATTCACTGATATCTCAGCCAGAGGAAAGATGGATACTTACTGAACCACAGCTTGACCCCGGGTCAGACCTCTGGTTTTCAAATAATGCTCAATGACCCTGTCCTCACTGCAAAACAAGGAGACGGCGACGCGTGACTATGTGAGACACAGACTCCTTACAAGCCCTCCGGGTGGCTGCTTGAGGAACTCCAGAGGGAAGGCCTTCCCGACTGGCTGGGAGAGAAGCTGGGGACGTTTCTGTAGACGTAGGTTCCTGGAGGATTCAAACCTCAGGCATTTGACTACCTTGTCATGATTTTTTAACTTATATTTTATACAATGTATTCATATAACTTAATAAAATATATTATTAACATTAATATTAATATATAATATATTCATATAATTTATTGTTTTTAAAACTTAATTTATTAGAAAAAGAAACATAATATCAATTTATCAAAAATGAAAAAACTAGTATCTGTTGTCATACCTGAGTGAAATAAAATAAATACAAAATAGTGTTAGTAAAGAGAGCTCAATGGGTGTTAGGTATTCAAGACAGTTTCCTTACATTATTCAGAGAGATTTACAAAGAATTATAACTGCTTCTGAGTCCATGTTCAATCTAAAATACTCTATTGTCACTACTTGGGACACAGTGTTTTGGGAGAAAATACTTCATTATTGTCTTGGATGAAACGTTGACCTAACTGGGGAGAAACAGGCTGAAGCCCAGCAACCTTGGACATCATTCAGCTATTGTGTCCTACTTTCAGGCAGGCAGCTTTTCAGCCAGACTTCAAGTGGAAGCTAGGAGAGTACATGTTTTTATCTCTCTGCATCTGGTAATCAATAGCCATTGGTCTTTTTAATTTCTTTCCTAAAAAACTATTACTTAATGACGATTCATTTAGAAGGTTCCAGACTGAGGATGCGATGCAGCCTCAGTACTCACGTTCACTGCTTATTTGGAAACTGTGTTGCAGCTTTCCTACTAATGCTATTAATGTTGAATATTTAACTTGTAATCAGTTTTTAGTGGAAAAGAAAACCATCTTTAGGATTTGGAGCCTTCAACCAAGAAAAATATAGTTACAGGTAATGGATGTAAGTAATTCAAAGGGGAAAAAAGGTACTTTTATAGAAGAAATGTTATGTGAAAAATGGGTACTATGGATTCATTAAAATACAACCAAATAAAGTAATTCAAAATATACATTGGTTTCTGGCCACAGAGGAAACTATTTCTGGTTATTAAGAAAACCTCTGTTCAGGGCACTCTGCATTTTATGGCACTTCCCCGGCTCCTGGCCAGACGCAGGCCAGGCCGTGTTACCCACCCACCAGCACTGTGCTCACCAACGCTCCCTCGCAGGCCCTTCCTCACTCAGCAAGATGGCACGCAGCCGGCTGCTCTTGACAAGTGACTCCCATCTTGGTACAAGGATTTCCAGGGACTGTGCGAAGATCCTTTCACTGAAAGGATCACCGTCTACTTATGGTGACTCTGACACATTGATGGGCAATTTGATATTGTCTTCACTTATATTTCTTTTAATCCCCTGAAAAGCCTGCTGTACTCGTGGAGCTGTGATAGGCGGGTCACCTGCTGCCTTGCTCTGCCTTACCAGTAAGCAAGGGACGGGTGCTCCTGAAGAGTTCTGGTTGGAAAGGCTGAGAGTGTCCTTAAATCTTTCCTGGCATTTTCATCACTAAAAAGAAAAGTAATACAGTAATGTCAGTCATGGTTACTGACACTATTATCCAAGCTAATAACCAGATGAAACCTGAAAAATAGCTACAGCACATTGGGCTCCATCAAAATGTTGTCCACACACACAAGACGCTGGTCTCTAACCAGAGCTAGCCCTTAACTTGACAACCCCCACGTCATTTGATATTATAAAGTTTAAAAAGATGAAAAAATTTAAATAATCATATTAAGTTACCTTGACCCCATCTTCCTTATTCTCCCCATAAACTTGTAGCTGTTTTCACTATATATTTCCTGTATGCATCTCTATTATTACATAATTATTATTATACTAGAGGTCTGATGCACGAAATTCATGCAAGGGGCTTGGCCCTAGCAGCCCCGGCTGCCTCAGCCCTGCCCCGAGGCCCTGCGCCCCGCCCCTGCCCACTGGTCGTCTGGAAGGTCATTCTGGAAGGTCGTTCCAGAAGGTCGGTGTGCCATTTGGTCTAATTAGCATATTAGCTCTTTATTATACAGGATTGTGCACATTTCATATTCTATTTTTATAAAGCATTTTTCCAGTTTTGTTAAATACGTTCTCCACCTTTCTATAGTAGCCTCATAATTATCTTTAGTGGATACATAATATTCACCATGTTGCAATACTGGTTATCATAAAACCATTCACATAGTATCGCTCATTTTTCATGTTACCGGTAGATATTGCAATAAAAAGGTTTATGTAGACTTTACATTAGATATCATTGCAATAAAAAGATTTAGGTAGACCTTCTGTTATTTTCTCATAACTCTAAAATTTACCTTCACACCCGCACCTGTACAACGAGGGTAATAATAGTACGTACTGCAAGGGAAGAGCTGTGAGGAGAAATCACTGGAATAGGTGACTTGAAAATGTGTTTCCACGGAAACCCAGGGCATCGCTGAGATTGCACCAAGTGAACTGAAATGCACCCCATGCAAGGTCAGCTGTTATCTAATGATTTAAAATGGCAAAATTCTGCTTATCCAGAGAGAAGGGTGTGGTGCCATGGGATTTCACCGAAGGGAGAGCAGGGAGAGCTGGTTGGGCCTGCACTGTATGAGGGCAAATGCTCTCTACTGCCCCAGCCACTCAAGGAGGTAGTCTAGGAGGAGCAGCATTGCGCTCCAGGGCCTGTCAGAGCCCAGGACAAGTCCCTAAGCAGCTACTCAAAATCCTGAGCAAACTAGTGCTCCCCAGCTGAGGATGAGGAACTCCCTCCTTCCCACCGCGTTGTACGTTTGTATTCTGTGGAGAGTTGCGGAGCCGGGCACCATGCGATGCACTCGGGGGGGGGTGGGGGGGCGGTTTCTACCTCACATGCGTCTCATCACAGCTCTTCCCAAGCAGTAGGGACTATTGTTACCTCGCTGTGCAGGTGCGAGTGTGAGGGTCAGAGAGGTAAGCCCCTTGCTCAGTGTCTCACAGCGGCTATGTGCATGAAGAGGCCAGAAGGCAAAGCCAGTCTGTTTGGCTCTGAAGGCCAAGACCAGAACCAATCTATTCTTTTTTCTTTTTTTTTTTTAAATATATTTTATTGATTTTTTACAGAGAGGAAGGGAGAGAGATAGAGAGTTAGAAACATTGATGAGAGAGAAACATCGATCAGCTGCCTCCCACACACCCCCTACTGGGGATGTGCCCGCAACCCAGGTACATGCCCTTGACCGGAATCAAATCTGGGACCCTTCAGTCCGCAGGCCAACGCTCTATCCACTGAGCCAAACCGGTTTTGGCCAGAACCAATCTATTCTAATCCCCGATTCCCTGACAGACCCCAAAGCGGGTCCTAGAGCGCCGGCCGCCATAAACATCCTCCTCTCCTGCAAGGCATAGTCACCCTCACTCCTAATTACAAATGAAAATGCAGAACCCATTAGCTTTACATTCCATCACTGAGGCATTTACATTAGCTCCCCTGGGGTTTGCCCCAACGTGAATCATGATAGTGAAAGCGATGAACCCCCAACTGGAGGAGCACACACTGAACCCCTCACCCCGCCCCCAAGCACTCCCTGCCCCGGAAGCACTCATTCAACACTCATACACCCACTGGTACAGGGGACAGGGGACGGAACCAAGCACGGCCTGCGGACAGGTCTGCCTGGCCCACACTGTGCTGAGCTGAATTAGGAAGTCACGTGGTCACTCTTGTCACGTGGTCAGGTTTGGGGTAAGTGATTCTCCTCTGTCTACAGAAGCTAGTTTTCTGATTCTGGTTTCCAAGCTTCTTGACCATGCCCAGGGCAACCAAGGAACCCACTGAGCAAACTGTCCCTAGACTTCCCGTCTTTCAGTGGGAACACAGTCGAGTGTCACCTGGCTGGGAGACACCATGCTCTGCACCTGCCAACATTTCCTTTCAAAACCAGGTTCGTGGCCCTTCCTACAGGTGAGAGATCCGGCTTCACAAATTGCTGCAGGAAATAAAGTCCCTTGGCTCCTGTTTTTACAGAAGATCAATCTCTCCATTCACTGAAATCTGAGCAGTATGGCCGACCCACAATGACAATCTTGGGAAACTGGTTTGGGCTTCCTGAAAACCAAAATATATCACAATCCAATGTATTCCTATTAAAGGTCACCTGTCAACTCCCAGTAATGGTATTTATTTTTCTCAATCATTTCTTTTATGCTCTGTACTTCAAAGAAGTTGCCTTGTCAGTTTTTTATGGGGGGTAAATACCTGAATATGTTCTAAAATGGTAGCAGAAGGACAACTCTTTTCTGTTAATCATCACCACAAGTCACATGTGTGTTTTCGTCTGGGTCCGCGGGAACTTTATCAGCCCAGCACTCACTCATTCTTTGTATTTAGTTACTTTTGTAGCAATCAAGACCTCACTATAGGAGGAGCTGCTTTTTACCATAAGTTCACTTATTCACTTAGCAAGTATGTAGTAAGTGTATGCACGCCTATCTAGCATGTGGAAGCCAGTGTCATGTGATGAAGTCACCACTTTCTCTAACCTCACTGGCCAGAAGGACACGGCTATCCCTGATTGCAAGGGACACAGGATATGTAGTCTTTATTTGAGGCACCACAGGGCTAACTGAAAATTCTACTAATATGGGAGAAAGGGATTTTAGATACTGGGGAACAACAACCAGACTCCATAGCTGGCAAGGAGCCACCACTCAGATCCAGGAAATCGTTGCTGTGTGCGAATGTGGATCCACTGCTGACTGCATATTTAAAAAAAAAATAAGGCAAAAACCCAGAGCTTTATGTAAGACTAGAGGCCCGGTGCACGAATTCGTGCACAGGTGGGGTCCCTAGGCCTGGCCAGCAATCAAAGCACAAGAATCTGGTGTAGAAGGGCAGGTCCTAGCTGACCTCTGGGCCCTGGGCAGCACCTGGGCCTCTGGGCCCCTGTGCACCCCCCTCCGCCTGAGTCACGGCGCCCGAGTCCCCACATGGAGATGTGGTGAGCGTGGCTGGACGCCGTGGGCCGGGGCACAGTTTGGGCCTCTGGGACGCACAGTGGCACCGCATGGAAGCTGGGAGGACAGGGCGGTCTCTCCTGGCTGGCCTCACAGACCAGCTCCTGCACAAACCCACGGGAGCCCGACTGACCCCTGTGGTCCCAGCAGCTGCAGCCTGGCTCATCCAAAAGCCCATTGGGGCCGGCAGCACCTCATCTGCTGCCCTGCTGCCAGACCTCATCACCAACACCTGCCATGTTCCGTGCCGCCCCCTGGTGGTCAGCTCATGTCCACCGGGACAATTTACATATTAGGCTTTTATTATATAGGCTATCTGAATTATAAAATATTGTCTCAACTAAAAAACAAACCAAACCTCTCCCCATCCAAAAGAAACCCCACAAAAAAACCCAAACCTAAAACATTGCTCAGACCATATGAAAAACACCAGCAGACCACCACTATCACTTTGCAATTTCTGACATAAACTCTTAGTAAAGAAGGGATGGAGAGAGGCCTTCTTGGCTTATCTACTTGGTTTCTAGTTTTAGAAAATTTACTAACAGTCTCAAATTGTCAGCAGTACATGAATAAAAGAGACACAAATAATTTTGACAAATGTGAAATCAAGACCATCCCAAATTATTTCATTCTCAGCAAATAACACAACTTTATTTCTTTGTATCAGAAAAAGGTTCCTATTATTCCTCCGAACCTGGCTATTTGTGCTATTACAAGACAGACTTTCCCTATGAATATAAAACATTACTTTCCTATAAGAACCCATTCAGTAACCCATTTCAAACAAGCCACCATGGATATTGAAGAACTGAGCTGTGGACACAGATACAATCCTAAAAGGGAGAGCTCCAACAGAATCCAAAGACGGGTGTAATGAGCAGCCTGCCAGGAAAACCGGTTAACCCTCCCAACAAGCAGTGTACAGAAGGAAAAGCCAAATGGCCGACAGGCAGAAGCCAGTCTTCCGCCTCCTAAGAACACAGGAAAACGCACACAAACCCTCCGTGATCACCATTACACACCCGACCATCAAACGTGCAAAGCTCTGCCGATACCTAGTTCACATGAAGATGGGCAAGAGGAACTCGCACCCATTGCTAGTGGGTAGGGCAACGGGTGTGGTCATTGTGGAAACCTGCATTCCCTGGGACCAGGGATCCTTCCCTATGGATACTCCTCTGAGAAATTTACACAAAAGAGCGAGGTTTATAGCAGCATTGTCCACCATGAGACAAATCCAAGAAACAACCCAAATATCCCCTAACAGTGGAAACATTGCAGTGTGACCACATCACGGAGGAGCTTCACACAGCAAAGACGCAAGAGCCAAAATACCACACACATCACAATGCCATGCACACAACGTTCCGAAACAAGCAGAACGAACCTGCAGAGGAGGCATAGGTGATACACGTAGGAAGCAAAACCGGAAATATGTGCCATAGAGTCAGCACCTCTGGGGAAGGAGGGTTTTATTGTGGGGGGTGGAGGGGAGGGCGCAGTACACAATGAAGTGAATGGGGTCT